CCTGGGCAGCGTGTATTAACCATAAACTGTCCTCTGGGTCTACAGTTAATTTTCACTCGATTTTTCCTCCACTTGACTTCAAAAGACACAAAACACACGTAATAATACGAATCAAAATGCATCATCTTTCAAAACGCAGGATATTTAACAAAAGTTGACACAAAATTATAACCTATAAAATTTGGCAAGACTTTGACAAGCGTCAAAAATGACAAAAATCTAAAGGCGAGTTCATACGCATCGGCGTCCGTTTGTCGTTCATCGTTCCGCCAAACCAATAAAATTGAAATACGATCTGTCATTTTTTAAATAAACCAATAAAACTGGTTAAAAACAAGAAGACACGACGCATGACGGATTTATATTTAAACCCATCCATAGATAACTTAAAAATTATTAGAAACTTCTTTTAGTAAAATAAATAGATTGGTATGGGACGTCATCTGCTTTTCTTCTGTCATCGTCTGTCGAAATCTTACCTGAGAAAAAAAACAGAGTATATATTCTTTAATTCGTTAACATTTAAAGGTCTAAATGTTACTTTTTCTGTTCTTTTTTTCTGAAGATTGGGGGACATGTCTATTTTTGGAGCTTTTACTCCTAGATATCGATATATTTTGCAAAATATCGTAACAATACTTATCGATATTTTTTTCTGAAGAACATAGACATGCCTCTGAAAACTTTTAGCAGCACTTTTCGAGCCTTTGTTCCCATTGGTGCGAAAAGCAGAATGAACGGGGGCACTGCACCCTGCCTGACCCAGTTGCAGCTAGCTGAATGACGTCAGCAACGACGTCACTCGCGATCCCCGACATGGAGATGTATTTGTACAGGAGGGCAATCCCATTCTAGAATATGGTGCATCGGGCCATGTCGATTTTCATGTTTGCCTCTCGTTCTATTTAAATGGTTATGGATACTTCTAACGTCAACATTTGATTTGTTGGCTTATGCCGGGTTTATACAACACTGCCGTAATCATAATCACAATTTTTGTAATAGTCGTAAGCGCAATCACATATTATAATCGCAAAACATTTTCCGAAGCACGTCATCAATCATATCGAAATTGACACTAAAAAACTGACTAAATGAAAATTTGGCGAAAATGTTTAAATTTGTTGTATAATTTAAGATACCGAGCAGCTCTTCATTTTACTTTATAGAGCAAACTAGCGTGTACCAGCGACTTCGTTCGCGTCGAATTAATCATTTGTAATGGTGATGATAAAGCAAAGCAAGAATTTCCATTAACATACAAACTGGATAAAATTTTCTCACATTTATGTCAGCATGAGAAAAAACAATATGGCGATATTATTATATAACTTGGTAATATTTGAGGGGTAGTTTCATCTCGTTGGAATTTGTCTTTCGAAAAATCCGATTGCCAAAAATAAGCTTTTTACGTCAAGCAGTTTAAGCAGAATCGTGGTTAAGAATTTCTTCAGAAGAAATTCAAAAAGTTGGGTAATTTACCCAACTTTTTGGAACACTCTGTATGATTTTTTAAAAAATTTCAAAATATGTAAAAAAACCAAATAAATTATGGTTGTCCAAGCGTTTTCCTGAAAGACTAACCGATTTTTAAATAACAAATATTGTAATATTTGAGGGGCGTTTTCACCCTCTTGGAATTTGAGATTCAAGAAACCCCTCCTTATCGAACCTCTACACCCCACAGTTAAACCGTTTGCCAAAAATCAGCTTTAAACGTCAAGCAGTTTAAGCAGAATCGTGATTACTCAATATCATATTTTATGAAACACCCTGTATAAATTTATAAAATTTTTTAAAATATGTAAAACAACAAAATAAAGTATACGTGTTTAAGAGTTTTTCCGAGAAACTCACCGGTTTTTAAATAAAAAATATTTTAATATTTGAGGGATAGTTTCACATCTTAGAATTCGAGTATCGAACCTCTACGCCCTAAAGTCAATCTGTTTTTCAAAAATCAGCTTTTTACGTCAAGCGCTTTAAGCAGGATCGTGATTAATCAATGACCAGATTTTTCGAATCCCCCTGTATACATTTTTAAAAAATCTTAAAATATGTAACTATATAAGTATAAATAAAAAACAAAATAAAATATACGTGTTTAAGCGTTTTTTCGGAAACTTGACTGTTTTTTAGCTAAAAAATATTGTAATATTTGAGGGGTGGTTTCACCCTCTTGGAATTGGAATTTCGAAAAATCCCTTCTTATCGAACCTCTACACTCTAGAAGCAACCTGTATGTTAAAATTGAGCTTCTTACGTTGGGTGGTTTGAGCAGGATCGTGATTAATCAGTATGTCAGTCAATTAAGGATTTTATATATTAGTATAGATAAATCACATCTCTGTTGACTAGATTAAATGTTGTATTGTCACGGAAAAGTTTTCTTTTTAATTCTACATATCTCTTTTTTTTGTGTGTATTTTTTTGTTCATTATGTAGTAGAAATGTCTAGTTTTTATTACTATTTTTTCTTCTTCACAAATCACGTGTCTAAACATCTTTTAAACAAAAAAAAAACATAATTAAACTATTAGGTCACGGTTAATAATAATTAAAACCAATTATTTAAACAAATAATAATAAATTACATGGTGCCTTAAATTCTTTCTACATAGACGTAATACTAACAATATTAATGTTTATTTATTTACTTATTAAATTATATTGTAACAATAAATAAACAGAAATTTATCTCAGAAAAAAATTAAACATTTTTGTTAGACCAAGATCACGACCAGAAATCAACGACCAGAATGACAGTGCAAGAGTTACTAAGAAGAGCCAACATATTTTTTGTTGTAGTTTATTATTCTGGTAGAGGAAACAAGGGAACAATATAATCTTAATTTATTTATGTATTATTTAATATATTTTTTGTTGTGTTAATCAAATTTAATCTATATGGTGTTGTTTTTTAATATTTAAATCTGTTCATATGTTAATTAGTTTAGGTAAATTAGTTTTAAATTTGTTTTATTTAGTATACGTTTGTGTTCTTAAGCAACGAATCATAAAAAATTAATCATTTAAACATATTGTTTGAATATTTCCATATATCTTTAATACAAAAGTATTTTGAATAATTAAAAATTCCAACATTTTTAGAATTTAAAAATGAACCGGAGATTAGCAATGAATAATTACTATGACGTTTTATTAGCATATAATATCCATGAATTAATATCTATTTACATATATTTTATTGTTAAGACAACTACATAATTTAAACTTTTCCAAGTTTGATTATAAGACAATAAAAAAGTTCTTGGATACGTATTTCTATCAAAGATAGAAATGAATTATTTTTTACTTTAATTTTTATACAAAACAATGTAACAGTGGCCATTCAAATAACAAACGATGATAATTTTAATTGGAACGATCCCTATATGCAATTTATAAAAAAATCTAAAAATATCACATGTTCTTCTCAAGTTCTAGACACATGGAAATTTATTGAAAATATACCGATATATAGAAGAAGAATATATATATTTAGGAGAACTAATACACATATCCAAATCTAGAATGCCACTCTATCTAAAGAAGAAAACATTCGACCAATATGTACTCCAGTCATGACCTATTATATGCATGCGAAACCTGAATACTTAAAACGGACATCATAAGGAAACTGCAGGTCGCACAACGCTCAATGGAATGAAATTATGCTGGGAATAACCAAGAGAGACCGTAAAAGAATAAAGTGGATACGACAAAAGACTGAGGTAATAGATGTCATCCACAGAGTCAAATCCCTCAAATGGCAATGGGCAGGACACTTGCTTACACAGGCAAGAAGAACGGACAACAGATGGACCACAAAAATTACAGCATGGTACCCACGAGGAATTAAGAGACTTAGAGGAAGACTGACCCTGATATGGGACCATGATATTAAGACTAGTAGGCAGACCAATACTAAGTTTAGAGTCTTTAACTTTCACTACCTATGTTAAAATATAAAAATAAATTTAAAGAAAAAAAAAACGAAAAAAGTTTTTTATTACCACTATTTTTCACGAAATAAAAACTCATTGTGTGTTTTTGTTGTTAAAATATACCGTATGATCGAGAAAAAACGGCGTCCAGTTGGCTGGGAAATGAAGATCGCTGTCATTTTATATGTAAATTTATATCACGCACCTCAGTGGCGCAGGGTTTTCGTGCTTCAGAGGAGGGCTGTGAGAGTTGTCGGAGGATTGGGCTACAGGGACGATTGCAGGGAAACCTTTAAAATGTTAAATATACTTACTCTCCCAAATCTTTATATATTGGAAAATCTATTATATGTTAAAGCCAATACGAAAAAATATCCCACAAATGCTCAGCACGGCTCTCATGACACTCGTAGGGCGGAGCACCTCAGTATCCCTATACATAGATTAGAAAGGTCTCGAGATGGACCTAGATACTGGGGTGTGAAGTTTTACAATAAACTCCCGGATGGGTATAAACTATTGTCCGATAAGGTGTTTAAGGGCAGGGTTCGTGGCTGGTTACTTGAAAATCCACTGTATGACACGAGGGAGTTTCTTTCAAGTGATATACATATTAATCTCACTTGATGGAAATTCCCTCTACAGCAGAATGTGGGAACTGGAAACTCCCACCCTATATTTATATTACAATGTATTAACTAGAATATATAACTGTCACTGTATACCCATCTAATATGATGGTTTTAACTTTATGTCTTTTGTGTTAATTTTTAAGTTAATTGTGTTTTATATATGTATTTTATTTTATATTTTGACTTATGTACGCCACTATTTGTATGGCATTGACATCAATAAATTATTCTAAATTCTATATGGGAAATGTCATCGATCGTCATTTCCTAGCCAACTGGACGCAATTTTTTTTCGATCATACGGTACCTGTCCTAAAGATGACTGTATTTTATTTAAGATTCACACTCTGTATAATTAATGTGTCCTAAAAATAATTTTAGAATATTTAATGACACGTTTAATACAGTATATATTCGCCTCAGTGCTGCACCAGTTGTTAAGCTTTCTGGTTTAAGCATTAAGTCCAATAATAGTGCAGTATAAGAAACAATGGACGAAATAGCTATTACAGGTATATCAGGGAGGATAGCGAAATCCAAAAATTTGGAAGAATTTAAAAACGCCTTGCTAGGAGGAGTGGATTTAGTGACTCATGGTCATGGAAGATGGAATTGTGAATTTTTAAACACTCCAAAATCCATCGGAGTGATGTGTAATTTGGACAAATTTGATGCAGGATTTTTTGGGTATGTCTTAAAAATACTTCCAATAATTCAATTTTGTGAAATTTTTGACTTTTTGGTGGTGATGAATATCAAATATCAAATAGTTATTTGTGTAATTAGTGCAAAAAGGACATATTTGTTGCATTAGTTTTATTAACTGCAATCATGCTGAATACAACAAATGTGCTCTTTGCAGATGTTGCACACAACATTTTTTCTACGATCGAATTGAAATTCGTATTTAAATATTTATTAAAATTGTTTTACAATAATTCACAGAATAATATGACACTTATTTTTTTAATAATTTTTTTTGAGTTCATTTTAATTTTAATGTCGCAGTTTAATAAGGTAACTGATGACAAGCTTCATTTCCAGTAGTCTTTTGAATTTTATTGTCATTTCCGCTCGTGGAGGTCTCGGGTTCTTGTTCTTCATTTAAAACTCTTTTCCGGAATGTTGCTGCCAGGTGCCATTGTACTTTGTACTTGGTTTACCTTCCAGGATTTGACAAATTTTTACAAAAATTTACAATTTTATTCTGTTTAGTTAAAAAGTCGTCATTAATAATGTCAAGGTGTTTTTTGCACTAAGTAAGTTTCTTCTTGCACTAGTTTAAAAAAATTTACTTTTAATACAGTAAATAGTGTAAAAATATCTACTTTTTGCACGATCGTAGAAAAAATATTTTTTGTATAATTATTATATAAATCGACAATGATTGTAGTATGAATTAAACATTTATTAAACTTTTAAACAAAGAAGGCAAGTAACATTATTTGTCAACGACCTGACAGACAATGACCTGATAATTCTGCTCATTTAATTTATATTACCCTTGTTTATATATTCTTAATTCATATACAAGGATACTACTTATGTTTATGCTGGATTTTTGGATACTTTAAAAGCAGCTTTTTATTTAAGTGTAATTTATATATAATATACTATCATTCATCAAAACCATATTGTGATATATCATAACATACTATAAGAGAATAAAATATAATTTCCAATATTAATGGTATACTTTTTTTTAATCAACTAGCGCCCAACTGTTTTATGAACATTTTTTACGAACAAAAAATTCGTTATATCCGAAATAGCCCACAGTAGCAAAACCGGTGCGTAAAACCATGCTCTTTACCGTAGTTGAACTCATCTAAAAAGTTTTATTAGCTTGATATTTATTATTAAGCTTGATTGAATATATCAAAATATTTATTTTTTTATTTATTTTTAGAATTTTCACAAATTATACTTCCTAAAGGTGCGTTAACACCAGCTGCGCCGCGCAAGTCATTTTTTTAACATATACTTTTGTGCGCGCTAAAAAAATACTCTTCAAAAGTACATGCTAAAAAAATGTATTGCGCGGCGCGGCGCAGAACGGCGCAGAGCCGGTGTGAACGCATCTTAACACTTTTATGGTGTTCCCTGTTTTATTAGTTCGCTGTTTACAGTATCCTCCGATGGTGCAAAAATTGGCCTAAAATTAATAATAATCGAATGAAAACTATATGATATTACTACAAATTAACAAAACTTAATATTCGTTGGGATTATCATATATAGACCGTTTAAATTTTTATAACTGTTTTTAACCATATTTTTATAGCTTTTCTAAATAAAACGGTATGTTAGTTTTATATCAAGCAGACACTTTTAAGGTACATTCAGGCTGAGAGCGTCGAGCGTCGAGCGTCGAGCGTTTGCGTCGCGTCCGCGTGTCGAAATGGAATCAATTCACTTAACTTAAATTAGACCGTTCAAGCAGACAGCGTCGCGTTTGGCGTTGCGCTAGCGTCCGCTGAGCGTCGGGGTTCGAATTCAATGGGGCGGACGCGATGCAAACGCGAGGCGACGCTCGACGCTCTCAGCCTGAATGTACCTTTATGAAGAATGCATTAAATTAACAATAAAAAAGTATTTCCTCTTTTGAAAACCGATTTGAGCTCATATTTTTTATTACTGCATATAATAAATTTACAGATTTATATAATTTAACTGGTATTTTTTTATATAAAACAATTTTTAAATGGAATTGACCCTCACAGGCAACGACGGTTATATCCAAATTTCTCTCTGTAGTATTTTTTTTTCTCTAAATATTTTCTGAATATATTATATTCATTATTGATTATACAGGGTTGTCCGAACTGTATTCCGGAAACTTCGGCAGCATATTCTGCAGATCAAAATAAGTAAAAAAGTTCGTATAATTGTATGTCCTAAAATGCTTAGTTTCGGATATACAGAGTGTAGAAGTTTCATTTTTATTTCGATTTTTTCCAAATAATTTCTGGAGTAACGTCAATATTTGGATGAAAATTGGTGTCTGGAAGTTTTTTGACATGAGAAATTTGATTTTGATGTCAATATGATTCCTACTAGAGGGCGCCACCTACATACTTTTTAACTGGTTGAAGAGTAATAACTTTTCGTCCGTACCTGTATAAAACTACTGAGTAAAAAATATACATTTACGACGTTTTTTAAGTAAAAAATGTCTCTTGGTAAAAATCGCTACAAGTATTGGTTTTCTAGATATTTGGAATCGAAATTATCAATACCTGTCATCAATGACATAAATTAAACATGTTGACTAAATAGTTATCAGACTGAGATCATAAATTTGAAAGTTTTTGTGCCAAAAGTTCCAGAGTTGCCAAGTGCCAAGTTTGTGCCAGAAACTTTTTATCGTCATTTTTTTGCAGAAAAAATTATGATTAATTTAAAAAAATAAAAATTTCCCAAATTTATTATTTCAGTGAAATAACTATCTACTCAACGTGTTTATTTTTCGTCAATAATGACATGTAATGCTATTTCCATTCTAAATTTCTTGAGAACGGTTGCTCGTAGCGATTTTTACCAAGAGATATTTTTTGCGTAAAAAGTCGCAGAGATGTATATTTCTTCCCTCTGTAGTTTTATACAGGTACGCACAAAAAACAGTTAAAACATATGTAGGTGGCGCCCTCTACCAATAGGAGTCATAGTGACATCAAAATCAAATTTCTCATGTCAGAAAACTTCTAGACACCAATTTTCATCCAAATATTGACGTTACTTCTTCAGAAATTATTTTGAAAAAATCGAAATAAAAATGAAACTTCTACATCCTGTATCTTTGAAACTAAGCACTTTAGGACATACACTTATATGATGTTTTTTACTTATTTTTATCTGCAGAATACGCTGCCGAAGTTTCTGGAATACAGTTCGGACCACCTTGTATACTTAATTGATATTTACTTAAATTAGAAATTGTTATTAATTATTTTACAGTTATTTAAAATCGGCGTTTTTTCATTGAATATTAAGGAATTTTTTTAGCAATAAAACAGTATTTTTATTACAATACAATAAAACTTAAAAAAAAATATTTAGCATATCAAGTCTTATGTTCGTTTTTAATAAATTATATACGATTAAATAAGGAATCAATCATTGAATGAAAAAATTGAAGTTACAGTAGAAATATTTAATTAGTGAGCTCATTAATGTAACACTGACACTATTATTAAAATATTCAAGTTACGTGTATTATAATTAGTAAGACAAGAAAAAAATGCAAACGCAACAGACAATAAAATGCACACTTTAATGCTTCAAATGCGACCAATGAATGCAAAAAATATGCAGTTATTCCTCAATTATTTTAAATATTACTACGTTTTTTTTTTAATTTTTCGTTAGGAATTTTGATAAGAATGAAACTTGAAGTTTAAAATTAATGTGACAATAATAAAACACAATTTTGGGAGAATATAATTTATTCATTATGGTGCATAACTTTATACATGATGAGATGAACAGCCTATTTAAAAATAAACATATTTCTTTAAATTCAAAACATTCATTTTTAAGATACTCTGTATACATAAATAAAATTATTGATTTTTAAAATATTATTCGCGAACTAGGGAGAGGGAAATCAGGCAAATAACAGGCGATAATAGATGTTAAGTAATAGCTTTTAGACTACTGTTCGAAACACATTGATGTTTTTTTTTTATTTTTAAGTTTTGTGACAAAGAATGTTATTAAAGGAAAAATAAATGTTTCCTCATTATTTAACTAGTGTTAATAAAAGCATATTATTTTGTTTCCATATTGTAATATTCTGTTCAAAAGTTTTTCCTTATTTATTTGATCTGACAAAGATAATATATTATAACATGTGTATGTATTTAAATTATTCGATTTATGCTGTGAATAATTTCTAGTTTAAAATTAAATACAAAGAGAATCGTTTACTGTTCATTCTTGCCGATGTTTTTGGTTCAGCATAATAGACCGAGAGCTGGCTACATAAAAAACCTTATCATCGTTACATGGCTAATTTTTTGTGTGAAGTATCCTTTTGTGTAGCCATTGTGAAATAGTCATGTCTGCCAGCGCGATCCCGGGGCTTAAAGCGGGGGCGGCCAATCGAAAGGGTGAAATTTTGACACTAAAAATATTATAAGGTACACGAGTTATAATTGCCAAATAGCTTTTATTTATTATTAGGAAACGTGTAAAATTGTTGACAGACATTTTTCTCGTGGCTGAAATGCCGGCAGACAACGCGAAAGAGGCATAGAATTTTGACAAAAGAAAATCATTGCATACATACATGTCGGTTGGTGGAATGTCATGTTTATTGTTAATTAATTTAAAAAGCCGTATGCAAAAGGGCAGACAAAAAAAATATTTATAATATAGTAATCGTATATTGTATTATTTATCTATACTTAAATGGATGAGGCGGCCAGCGTTCCCTGAATAAAGCGCTAGAGTATAATATTATCGCGCTTTTAATAACTGTCTGCAGCTGATTGTGCCACGATTTTTTTGTCAGCCCTTTTGCATACGGCTTTTAAAATAAATAAATATGACATTTCACCAATCGGCATGCAAATATGCCATCATTTTTTTCATTTTTCAAATTTCATTTTTTAATAATTTTTAAAATTTAATGCCTCTTTCGCGTTGTCTGTCGGCATTTTGGCGACTAGAAAAATGTCTGCCAACAATTTTCCACGTTTCTTAATAATAAATAAAAGCTATTTTCGCAATTATAACTAGCGATGGGAACTATCGAATGAATTAGACTATCGAATGTTTAATGAATGAATGATTTCAACTATCGAATGGTTTTATTCGAATAAAATCATTCATTCATTTGTATACTAAAGCATATGTGACAACCTCGCCGTGCGACTAAATGGTTATCGTTGAGCCACGACTATCGAATGCTTTTGATAAATGAAATTTAGTATTCGTTTGATTTTTGTATGCGTCAGTGCATTATTAGTTCTTCCAAATTTTTATAACTTCACCGTATAAATACTGTGCTATTTTTGCGTTTACTAAAATAGTTAAAATACTAAAATAGTAGTTATTTTTTAATTTTATTTATTGACGATTGTGTGCATGTGCAGGTGGTCAAAATTTTTCCGAAAAGTTGTGTGGTTTTCCGTAGTCCGATCTTTCAATTATTTAATTTTATATGGTATATGGTCTATTTTTTAATGGGAAATTTTGAGAAGTAGCAATTTTTAAGAGAGATGAGATGAACTTAAATTAATTTTAAAAGTACATATTTGTATTTTAGATGTTTTAATAATATGAATTAGTTGAACTTAATAATCATATTAAAGTAATGTGGTTAAGTAAATGGTTATCGAACTCAAACTATGGGGTGAGAAAATTAAAATGAAAGTTTTACACGTGCCAATTTAAAAAAAAAGTTAACGATGTTTGTATTTTGTTTATGCTAATTCTCTTACATGTAGTTTTTGCGAAGAAATATTTCATTTATTTTTTAAAGTAAATGCCAGTAAAAGTAAATATAATTTTTAAATAGTAATATAAAGCACCTAATATAAATAATTTTGATTTCTAATTTTTATTTATATTTCTCTTCCATTACATTGTATGCTTAGAAAATTAATAAATGTTTATATTTCATGATTTTAAAATTTGTTGTTAATATAACAAATTAGTTCTGTAATTATTATTATTATTTAATAAACCAACGTTGCCCCCCAAAAAATTTAGATACTATATTATTTTTAAATAGGATCTAATATAAATAATTTTCATATCTAATTTGTTGTTTATATTTTGCTACTACTTAAAAATATATATATATATATATATATATATATATATATATATATATATATATATATATATATATATATATTATATTAAATGATTTTAAATTTTATTATTAATATTTATTTTGTTGTTATTAGGTATTACTGTTATTATTATTTATTAAACCAGTCTTTGCTTAAAAACATTAAAATCATTTTCCTACATCCAAAATAACAAGTATTATTGCAGTGTAACAACAGAATATTAATAAAATGCGGAATATATAGACATACTATCCCTAACTAACTAAAGTCAAACAATAATATTCTTTGCTAATATCAACTGATACCAAAATATGGCAACAGCGCCCTTCATAATGTATTTTCTGTATAAATACTAGCACCTCAATAAAAAAATGATGTGTCCTTATCTATATCTGACTCCGCAAAAAATCAAAGATGCCGGCTTCTTTCATAGCATTGCCACCGACCGCTATCGGGTTTCTCGGAAAGAAACCTACGTCGCCGTGCGACAACTAAAATTCAGTTAATATTTTATTATAATCGATCCGGACGAATAAATGAATTTCATAAATGAATGAATTTTATAAATGAATGAATTTTATAAATGAATGAATTTTATAAATGAATGGTTTTTGCTGCCGAATTACTAGAATACAATATTTCAAGGCAGATGACGGATCTATTCGATAATTTTTATTCGAATAGTTTTCAACGAATGTTTTCTTACTAACTATCGAATTATTCGAATGAATTGCAACTATCGAATGTTTCGATAGTATTCATTCGATAGTTCCCACTACTAATTATAACTCATGTATCTTATAATATTTTTAGTGTCCAAATTTCACCCTTTCGATTGGCCGCCCCCGCTTTAAGCCCCGAGATCGCGCTGGCAGACATGACTATTTCATAATGGCTACACAAAAGGATACTTCACACAAAAAATTAGCCATGTAACGATGATAAGGTTTTTTATGTAGACTATAAGTTAGTTTAACAATAAGGGCCTTGTTGCGTGTATTAATAATTTCCAATCGTGTCTGGGCGAATATCTTAGCAAACCAGTGAGTAGTAAAAGCCAAAGATTGGCACCAAACATATAAACTCTAGCTGTGTAGCCTCCCGAATCCAGGGACCTCAGTACCTGCAGATGGGGACCTGCTAAGTAACAAAATCTCTTCAGTTATGAATGTTTTAAGTGTGTTAAACTTTAAACCTTGGTATGAGGACAGTATTTAGTTTATTATTATTAATATTTTCTTAAAGTTCAGAACAGCATATTGGATTCTTTGGAATAGTGATCAGGGTTTTCTCTGCCGTGTTCTTTTACTTGTGAATTTCAGGCAGAGTACGGCACTCCTTTCATTTCACTTAATAAAATAAGTAGGACTGTTTACAAATAAGTAATATAAAAATAAAATAAAGTAAAATTTTTAAGAGTAAATCCGAAGCAGGCAGATTGTTTGGATCCAAGAACGCGTCACTTAATTGAATTATCGTTCGAATGTGTTCTGGATGCAGGAATAAGCCCTCAGGAGCTCAGAGGTTCTAACACTGGAGTGTATCTGGCTATAGCAGAAAATGTCAACAAAGGATATATGGACAGATCCTTAGGTAGGTATTTCTCAAACTTATATCCTACATATACATGTTACGTACCTACAAATATACGCACCTTAAATTTTTTATGTATTTTAAAGTTTAATTATATTTTGTTCTAGTGGGCGATTATCTTCTTCTAAATTGAAAATAAAAGTCCCCATCGGTCAATTATACGAGGGAAAACAAAATGTTGATATTTTGGTGAAAGTTTGAAACACCCTGTGGAATGTGTTAAGACAGCAAGAAATTTAAAATTAATTTTATATTCTAGGTACATCCTTTCTCGATAGTCTATAATTAATTTAAAATACATTAAAATTTTAAGGTGCTTGAGTGTACCTATAAAGAGCAATTACCATAATACCAAGTCAATAATATTAGATAATATCGTCGTGGTCTGGATATTTACGAAAATGGCGCAGGAAAACACCTACACATATTCAGCTCTTAAAAATTAGTAATATTTATTATTGCCTAGACGTGAAATAAAATCGGCAAACTATTAAGTATATTTGAACACTTTTAAAATAAGAGTACTGTCGTACTACCCCGGTTTCTTGTTTTTTTATTCAATGGTTTCATGTATATGTTACGGTTAAGGTCCGATGTCCGGTTAATGTCGACGTTACCCGGTTAATCTCGAGAATAAGACACAAGAAAACAACCAAAAACATAACCTAACCCAAACATTAACTGGACATCGGACTTTAACCATAACATATACATTTTCTAAAAATTAACGTTATCTTTATAGCGGTAATGGCCAATTCCATTTCATTCTACCTCGACCTTAAAGGACCTAGTATAGCTTTGGATGCTGGCTGTTCTGCTAGTGCCTACGCCTTATGTCACGCATTTGAAGCAATGATGTGCGGAAGCTGTGACAGAGCATTGGTTTGTGCTGCGCAGTGCCATTTACAGCCTCAGGACAGCGCGGAATTCAATAAATTAGGAGTTTTGAGTAAAGTTGGTAAATGCAGAACATTTGATGATGACAGAGATGGGTAAAGTATTTGTATTGATATTAAAAATAAGATTAATAATATTAAGGGCAATTAAAATAACTTTCGTTGCACGTCATCAATGACACCATGCGTCGTCTTATGGGGTTTGCTGGTGGTCGTATTATGATGTGCAACCAAAGTTATTTTAATTTCCTTTATAGAGTTGTTACATAACTACTAAGTTTAATTTATAATAGTGTTCTGACTTAAAAAAAAGTAAAACAAGTGATACCAATTAAACTTTTAGTTACGTAATCGAGGGCGTGATTTCTAAGTTCATTGTTGTCAACCATGGAATATTCGGCGCCGGGCTGACTGAAATTTAAATTTCCCGATGGGAATCCAGGTGGTAGCTCTGCTGCAAAAAATGTCAAGTTGCCACATTTATTTATTTATTTCCTAACATTGTTATTCGTTTTGACACTTTAGTTTTATATTAGTTGAGTTTTTAGTTCAAATGAATTGTATTGTGATAACTTTAAGCCAAAAAACTTTTACTAGCAGCACAGATTAGGTATCCTATAAGTATACAGATAAAAATCTTGTCCCTAATTCGTAGTACGAAAATTGTTTTTTGTGACGATGTGCAAACGAGTCAAATTTCCTGTGCGCAAAAATAAACTCGCGTAAAATAACAATAAACAGCGTAATAGAGAGATATCGCTAAACCGAATAGCGTGCATGGACGTTAATAAGGCCAGGTGTTATTTCCTTTACGTGAGGTGGTATTAACTCTCTTCATTTATAGTTATCGGATCGGAAAGAATTCTGATCGCGTCGCGTCCGCTATTTAAACTTAACCTAACTTTGAATTTAAAACTTTGAAATTGTTTTGTTTACTAGGTATTTTAAAACTAAAGGGCTGAAGTGCTTATTTCCAGTGCTTTATTGTTCAACGTCTGCCAATGGGTTGGTGATGGACAACAAGCAACGAATTCTCTTAGAATGGCTAAATCGTCATCTGCTGTAAACCTAAGACTCTTTATAGGTTCTTTAGTATTGGAAGAGGTGGAATCCATATTTTAGGCCATATTTATTTAATTAAAACTAATCCTAGCTACTTAAATATCAAATTACCTAATAAAACTAAAGCAATAATTCAAAACAATTCAAACATAATCTAAAATAAAAGATCTCGCCGACCGGCTCCGGTTGTTAAGTACCCGCACATGCCCATTTAAGCAATTTTTAAACGTTATCAGAGGTTATTTAGAAAGAGCGCTTGGTGTAATTGATCCGCAAATTACAGGCGGTAACGTTATTAGCGGGTGTTGCGTTGACTCGCGCATATCGTAACCATGATAAGGTACGCGTAAATACTGGATGACGCTATTCGGTTTTCCGATATCTCTCTAATAACTGTGCCGGTCAGGCGCTGTGCACAATTTTAGAGGCCATAAGTGGGCGTGCTATGTGCGCAAACTAGTCACCTAACTAGTGCCCGATTCCGAAAATTGGAACCACGAAAAGCAATAAAGAAAAAACAAAGATTATAATCTGTATAATCTGTGCTAGCAGACCTTGCAGTCGAACATTGTTCTTTTTAGAACCTCTTTTAGTGCGAATTAGTGCGAATTGTACAAGATAGCTTAATAGGCACTGCAAAAAACGCATCGCAACCTTATTAGAATATTTTGAACAGGAAAGTGGTAGTAATGGCCCTTTATGTCCCTTAAGTGCTGTTAAATAGGTGAGTTTTGTTGATGTAAATAATAACTGTTTATATATTTATAATTAATTTATTTTTGTTTCCTAAAATATTTTGATTAAAAGAAAATATGTAAAAGTGAACAACTCTGTGCCGGTCAAGCTTAATCACGTGACTAAAAGTTTAATTGGTGTGAACCTTTGACTAGTTATGCTAGTACTGCTTCAATCAACTCTTGAACTTCTTATTGCGTGATGATTGCACTTTGCACTTATAAATGTGTAATGTTTAGACCCTATTACTAAGGTTACTTTAGTTACCCTATTACTAAGACTTCGCTGTCCGTCCGTCTGTCACAAAGCTCTATCTTATAAACCGTTATAGCTAGACAGTTGAAATTTTTACAGATAATGTATCTATGTTGCCGCTATAAGAACAAATACTAAAAACAGAATTAAATAAATGTTTATAAGTAAAAAAATACTTTCACTAAACATTATCTTAAGTAATTTTAAATAGAATCTTTCAAGTCCCCGGTGGCCGCGTGGTTAAAGCGTTAGGACTTTACGCTGCTATGACGTTGGAGCCGTAGTAAGGCAGGTTCGAATCCTAGTCAAGGCGACTTTTTTTAATCGTTTTTTTTAATTTTTACATATTTTACAAATTTATTTTTACTTTTTACATATTTGTTATTGATTAATACGATTTTTAGTAATGTGTTTCTATTTTTTTCTAATTACTTATACGCGCATTCAAAATTTCAGATAAATCGGAAAAAAAGTTTATAATAATATAGTGTCTAATGTTGTATAGATAATGAATGGTACGGAACCCTACGTGCGCGAGTCCGACTCGCACTTTACCAATTTTTTTGTTAAATTCTAGATACGTAAAATCGGAGGGCATCATTTGCATCCTCATCGAAAGAGTTGAAGATGCCAAGAGAATATATGCAACCATATCCGGAATCGGATCTAACATAGATGGTTATAAAAGTGAGGGTATTTTTAACCCATCTTCGGAAGGTCAGTTAAGTCTTCTAAAGAAGGTTTATGACAAATTTAAAATTAATCCCGATGATGTCGAATATGTCGAAGCACATGGCACAGGTAAACATTATTCATAAGCAAGTATTTTATTACCAGTTACAGAAAGAAATTCAGTAGCAATTTAATTGTTAAGTATTAATATATATTTTTGTTAGTACTATAGACTAACGTGTTTAATTTAATAATAATTACGCTTAAATTTTAATTTCATTGTTATTATTTTTGTTTATTATACACGATGTCCTATTAATAATGCACACTACAGAAATCGTGTAAACTAAATGAGATATAGAAAGATATAAGCGATACCAGTTAAACTTTTAGTTACGTAATCGAGAACGCGATTTTTAAATTCGTTGTTGCCAACCATAGATGTATACGGCGCCGGCGCCGGGCTGACAAACTGGAATTTAAATTTCCCGATGGGGATTCAGGTGGTAGCTCTGCTGTAATAAATGTCAAATTTGCCACACTTATTTGTTTACTTCCTGCCATTGTGATTCGTTTTGAAAACGTAGTTTTGTATTACGAGTTTTTGGTTTAAATTAATTGTGTTGTAATACTTTAAGCTTAAATTTTTTTACTAGCAGACCTTGCAATCGAACATTGATTTTTTTAGAACTTCTTTTAGTTGGAGGTGGTACAAGGTAGCTTAATAGCCGTAAAAAACTCATAGCAACTTTATTAGAATATTTTGAACGGGAAAGCGGTAGTAATGGCCCTTTATGTCTCTTAAGTGCTGTTAAGGAGGTGTGTTTTGTTGATGTAAATAATAACTGTTTATACATTTATAATTAACTTATTTTTGTTTCCTAAAATATTTTGATTAAAAGAAAATATGCAAAGTGGGCAACGCTGTGCCGTTCAAGCTTAATCACGTGACTAAAAGTTTATTTGGTATGAACTATATAATATACCTTTTTATCTTTGTATATCTTCCGGTTTCCTAGTCGAGTTCATTTTTATATGGAACACCCAGTGTATGAAAAAAAATGTTTTAGTTATACAATTCATAAAATAAACCATTATTTGAAATAAAATTAAAAAACAAATGTATTTTATCAGGTACCTTAGTGGGTGATATCAAAGAATGTACTACGTTAGCGTCATTTTTTGCCACAAAAACCAGAAAAACGCCTTTGAAAGTTGGATCTGCCAAAACAAATGTTGGTCATTGTGAAAATGCAGCCGCTTTTGTTTCTCTAATGAAACTCTTGGTTACCATCCAAACTGGAACCATTCCAGCTCATATTCATTATCAAACACCAGCTTTGGACATTGTACCCCTCGAAGAGGGACTTATAGAGGCAAGGGAGTATTGTTACTTACTCAATTTAGTAGAAAATTACTTACCAATAAATACACTCACCGGCAAAAAAAACCTGCCACTAAAAACTAGTCCCAATTTCAGAGTTGGATTTCTCGCTAACATCTCATTAGATTTTGATGATTTTTCTTAAATTGTAAATTAATTCCTTCTTAACGGATGCTACGTCAGAAATTTTTATTCCGAATTTATTTTTAGCATATACAGGGCACAACAATAAGACGAAGTTTTTTGCTCGAACTTTGTGACCCCTGAAGGGTGCAGCAGCTGTAGTAGCTATTGCTAAATCAAATCACATTGTAGCCTCATCTTTTGTGAGCATTTTGTTTTTTAAATCACGACATTATCTCTGTTTGTATTGGAGATACGCTGCTTTAAAATAAGCGTCTCAGAAAAATGCTTTACAGGCAAAACCGCGACCAAACCAATTCACATGTAAACGCGCAAATTGAAGACGTGCTCGACAATGTCTTGGAAGTAGCTGGGGTCCTGTGGAAGGCCTCCTTGCAGACAAGCTGTTTTCTTTTAGTCTTCTTTGGATTGTTCTCTCACTGACTTGAGTTCTACGCACGGCTTGTCGCAGATGTTGATTCTGAAACGCTGTAATTCTACGGTTTCGTAAAGTATTCAGGGCAATAAAGCGGTCGTAAATTGCATTTGTCTTCCGTTTTCTTCCCTGAACCCACTCACCTGGTGAAATTTCCCGTTTCCATATACCGAGTCCAGGCATCCTGGACTGTTGTTCGAAGTATGCCCAGGGTATAACGTTGCCTTCGGCCATCCTCAATTAAAGCCACAATACGAGCAACATCCGTCACAGATAATGGCATTTTTTAATTTGACAACCGTTGTTGTCATATTGCAAATACTCATAAATCCGTTTTCGCCTATGTCGCCTTGATTATTTACACATAACACTTACTGCCTCCGAAGCATTTTTCCGAGACGTTCGTTTTAGAGCAGCGTATCTTCAATAAAAAGAAAGATAATGTCGTGATTAAAAAAACAAAATGCTCACAAAAGATGAGGCTAGATTGTGATTTGATTTAGCAATAGCTACTACAGCTGCTGCACCCTACAGGGTGTTACAAAGTTCGGGCAAAAAACTTCGTCTTATTGTTTTGCCCTGTATATGCTCAAAATAAATTCGGAATACAAATTTCTGACGTAGCATCCGTTAAGAAGGAATTAATTTACAATTTAAAATAAAATCATCAAAATCTAACGAGTGGTTCGTGAGAAATCCAACTTTGAAGTTGGGATTAGTTTTTAGTAGCCGGTTTTTTTTGCCGGTGAGTTTATTTGCGAGTTTCAATTTAGGTAACCAATATTATTATAGTTTCCCTTCTATCTGCGAGTTTGTTGCGAATGTAATTTTGTGGTCCATTGAAGAATTTATAGGGCGTTTGATTTGGTATGTTAGCATATGACATAATAACCGAGAAAAAAATATCCTTGTTAGGCAGGATTTTTAGCTCAATTTTAAAAAGTGTCGGTGAACATTCAAAGTTTTCCGTTTAAATAACACGTAGAAAAACCTTTTTCCATTAAAAGTACCATAACTTTGAAAAGGTTTACGATAAAAATTGTTGTGGTCCTCTTCAGAAGGGCCAACTTGTTGAGGGTCTTTTCGGGTGTGGAATTAATGTACACTGTTGTTTTTTAATATAACTTAACTTTAATTATGATAAACTAATTACAGTAGTTACCCTGAGGGAAACTGTGAAAAATAATAACGTGTTGAAGAGTAAAAAGAGAGTTGAAGAGCAAAAGCAAAAGAGTGTTGAGCAAAAGAAGGTTTCTGCAAAAGAGTTTTGTGACTGAAACAGGGTTTTAGCAAAAGAGATGTGAGGGCCTGTCTTGCAGTTCCTTAAATAATATCTAAGCTACAGAAATGCCAGAGGCGTACAGTACAATTTTTATATCCTTAATCTAATATTCAGAGCAGTGGACGACACTGCCCTAAACTTACATTGTTCAGATAGACAGACGTCTGCGAAAGCTATATAAATTTATGATCAAAATTCCCAACAGTAATAGTTAAAGTTATCAATTAGAATTATATTGTAGGGTCGTTTATGACCTCAAAGGTATTAAGGTTTTTATTAGAGATGGGACATTCCTAAACTAATATTACAAATTTGATTAAAATGAGGACGGGATTATAACACCTCCCCCCTAAGAAAAAATTTTTTCATAACAAAAAAAAATTAGAGAAAAAAATTGTCAAATTAAACAATAAACAATACACACAATAACTACACTATTCTAAGAGTAAAAGTTTGAAAATAAATACAAAAAAAGTAAAAATACACTGAACATTTTAGTCTTTAATTAGTCCATATGAACCGATGGTGTTCTAGTCGAGCGTCGACCACTTAAGTTTAAAAATTCCACGGCTGAACGATTACTTGGGAGTCCACTTCTTCCAGCTTCTTCTTCCAATATTTGTTCGAATTGGGCCTGAGTTATTGGATTTGGAGTATTAATATTTGTATTAAATAGTTTAATACAGCAACCTTCAGAGAGGGTCTTGGGCTCCTTGGTACAGCATAGTAATCTTCTTAGCAGGTTGAACAGTCCACACCATTTTAGAATATTATACAATAAGATGATCGTTACAATTGAACCAATTGCTGATAGTCCAACAGTATACCAGTATGAATGTTGCACAATAAATGGTTTCTTCAATTCTATGTCTAAAAGATCGTCCATCTGTTTAAGCTTGTGATTAGCGAAGTTCAGTTCATCCAATTTTAAATTTGTTATCTTCACTGGCTCAAGATCTAATGGGGTTATGTTAAGTTCTTGAATTCTTATAACTTGAGGATGCTTGCATATGAATTCGTCTTCGGTGGTCTTCGTACAACTTGATAGATCAAACATCGCTACGTAATATATCTTACTAGTTTGATTACTGAATTGATTAAAGAATTTTGTATTTATATTTAAAAATTGTTAATTTAAGTTAAAACTTGTGAATACTAGCTTTAAAATTTTGAATAGTATTTGAAATAATTCTTATTTGTTGTTTCATAGTAAGTTGAGTTTCGTAATTAACGGTAAATAGTTATTTTATGGCTTGATCATAAAATTTTGCATCAGGTATACAAACCATCAATTAAAAGCGTATGAAGTGCCATTAAAAATTCCTCTTTTCAAATTATTATATCAAAAATTATTATCGAGACCTGTATCTTCATTACTTATGACATAATTTAAAAGATCTTTAATATGCGTGAGAGAGCGAATTTAGTTTATCATTATAATAAGATAAATTTAGGTGTGTGAAAAGAATGATTTCAGAACCGGATATCTTTGCATTTCCAATTTATGATAATATATTCTGTTTATCCAGGTAGATTAATGGAAAAAAGTACAATAAGGTATAAAAATAAGGCGAACATTTTAATCTGAAACAAAGGGTTTTATCATGTTAGTATGATAGATAATATGTCTTTTCCCAATTTGAATTTGAACATTTTTTTCATTAAGTACTTTTGTTATTCTATACGGGCCTTTAAAATTAGGGGATAATTTTTTGCTTAAGCCTGGAGAAACTTGTTTATTTAATATATATACTAGGTCATTAGGTTTATAAATAGTCGTTTTAATTTTTTGATCGTAATATTCTTTTGATTTAAGCTTTGATTTAATTATTTTTTCTTTAGTTTGAGTTATAAATCTGTTTTCATTCTCGGTAATGGGTAATGAACCAACTATATCAATCGCTAATTTTTCGAAAGCCTTTTGGCTGGTGGATGTAGTTTCCATAGGGACCTTATTTGGTTTATAATTAATTTTATTTATTTGGCACAAAGAACAGCGTTTAATATATTTTTTGATATCTTTCTTCATATTGTTCCATTTATAATTTTCCTTAATCTTTTTATAAGTTCTAGTATAACCAGAGTGTCCGGCTAATTTAGAATCGTGATTTTCTTTTAATATTTGTTCAATCTCTTCCTTAGTCTCAGGTTTATACTTTTCTCTATTAATGACATGTACGTTAATATTGGTATCTCTAAATAAATAATGAATTATTTTGTAGTACATAGATTTTTTTAAATGTGTACAATAAAGTGAAATGTCAGGTAAATTTATTGTTTTCATATCATCTTTTATTAACTGAGTTCTTAAATTACGTAGAGAATAAAATATATCCTTATAGCTTAATTTATCAAAATGAAAATGTTTTGTAATCATTAAATAGCATAATTTATTATGATTTTTTAATTTGTAAATTGAATATAAATTAGGAGAAATTATCTGATTAATATTGTGTCGAAATTATCTTTAATATGTTGTGAAAATGGATTATCTTCGTCCAAATCTGAAGAAAAATAAAGAGCAGCAGGTAAATTATCGAATAAATTTGAATTTTTAATATCAAGTTTCGGGGTAATTTCTGAGGTTTGATAATGATATTTAATAAAATTTTGATAATTGTCGTCTTTAGATATTATATTAATGTTGATATTTCGTGATAGAGGATCTACATTAGAGTTTATTCTGCCTGGTTTATAAACAATCTGAAAGTTTTGTTGTCCAGATACATTTTGTTTTTTCGGATATCTATAAGTTTTAGCGGATATTGGTTTTTCATTACTTAAATTAATTTCGTGTTTCATAGTTTGAGTACAAGTTAATTTATCGCCAGGTAGGTGAAAATTATCATTATATTCCGTACATAAATTTAAAATTTGTTCTTTTTCCTCAATATTTAAATGTTCCAGTCTAAGGTTTTGATTTAATAATTTATTTCTGTTAAATAAATCTGATGAATTAGTAAAGATGTTAAGGGTTTTAACATTATTAATATTCATTTTTAGATGTAGCGGAAAAGGTAGCGAGTCAAGAGAAAATAATTGCTTTTTTAAATCAATTTGCGCGTTTTGTGATTTAATAAAGTCGTATCCGATCAGACCGTCATAAGGAACGTTTGTTTTCTGATTTAGAATATGGAACTTTATTTTCAAT